ATATATATATATATATATATATATATATATATATAGATGATGATCATTATTATACTTTTATTAGTTTTATTATAATTACATTGCTATACAGTGGTTTATTTTGCTTCAGTGAGTAAATGTTGAGTGCTGAAATGGAGAATTTTTAAAGCTTTTAGCATTTCATTTTTGCAGTGCTTCTGGAATGCTGCGTCGGGCTTGTCCAGTGAAGTAAAGCAGCTGCATCAACAGAAGTGCAGTTTATCCACTAGACTAGAGCCACAGCACTCTCTGAAGGGAGCTGCTTCCAGTAAAATGTCATTAACACCAGTATGTTTACACAAGGCCTTGCATGTCATTGAATGAATGTTTAATACATGGCAGAGCTGGCTATATTTTAATGACTTGATGAACTTAAAGTCTCTCCTTATTTGTTTTTGTAGGTGTTTTAATTGAGACTTGCCCTTGTACACCTTAGCTTCATGTCCACCTAATCGCGAGAGATGGCTGGTGCTCTACCCCTCCAGCTGTGCATCCTCCTTGGAGTTGGTCTTTTGGGCCACTCTGCACCACTCCCGGCTGAAGGATCTAGGACCCTGAGTAGTGACACTTCAGCAGTGAAAACCACTCAAAGGCCAGCTGAGGAAGCTGTGGTGGCACAAGACCTCACAGAGGGCAAGTATGAGGGAGAGGACACTCTCAGTAAACCTGCCGCTGCACCTGTCACGTCCGTGAGCCCAACAGCAGCTCCAGGTGGGCTATCACAGAGCATCAAGCCAGCCAGTGAGATGGGGAGATTTCCAACTGGGGAGACCAGCTTCCAGAGTTCAAGGTCGGTGATGGAGGGTGTCTCTCTCAGTTACACCGAGGATCCTATAAGAGCTACAGTGGCGTTGGGCTTTGTTAAAGAGATACTCTTGAGTGACCACGAGAGCTCACCACTGCAGACACAGGAAGAGGGTGATGACCAGGGTGGTCAAATGTTGGAACAGTACATTGGAACTGACACGTATATCCCAGTTCCAGGAATGAGCCTGAGTACAGAGCCAAAAATGGGCTCGGCTAAAGGGATTAATCAAGAAAGTCTGTCCCAAGGAGCAAAGTTGAGTATTGGGTCCTTGGCGATAAATACTGAGACACCAGATATTTTGGATTCCACTGACCAGGGTTTGCAGGGCTCTCTTGTGCAGGTGGTGGCTAATGACAAAGCGGTGCGGCACATCTCTGCAGTCCCTCCCGTGCTACAGACCCTACAAGCAGAAAGGGAAATGGCCCTTTTGAGAGAATCAGAGCGAATCGCCAGCAGCGAATCACATGGCCCAGTTCCTGCCTCTGCAATGCCACCAGGACTAGTGCCAAGTGGCCCACAAGAGGCGCAGATGGCCTTTTCAAGGAATGAGGGCCCAGAAACAGACTTGGATATGGCGAGCCAAGCTGCGGGCCAGGCTGGGCATGGAGCGAGAACCTTAGAGCCGGGACAAGACACTGAAAGCCAGCTCTCCAAGACAGAGGAAACTGGGATTGAGGAAAATTACACTGTGGCAGAGAGAGCTGAGGAACTTGCTACAAAGCACCTAGATGCCCTCTCCCGGGAGGTAACAATGGTCAACGACACAACAAAGAAGAATACTATGCAGTCAGGGCCTGAAGAAGAATCTGGGGCAAGACATGGTGCACTGCTGGATGGAATCCAGCTTTCAACTGCACCAGCAGCATCTCTGCGGGAGAGGAGCGCTGCTCCATCTCCATCCTATCCATCCACTTACCTTCCAGCCAACTCTGCACCTAAACAAAGTAACTCAGGAGAGACCTTGGCTTGGACAGGCTCCCAAAAACAACAAACTGGCCAAGTTCCTACACCTTCCCAGATGGACGTTTTTTTGCCCCAGAATGGAGGTAATGGTTTTAATGGAGTGAGGTCTTTCCAGACAAGTTGAGACAGGATACTGTGTTCCTCAGTTCATAGCCAGTATCATGATGGGTAGCCAAGGTAGAACATACACGTGGTGTTCTGAATTTCTGCAGGGCTAAGATATTTCTGTAGGGCTAATTCGTTATGGCAATGCAGGATATTTTGGGGGGAAAATTGATAAAACTAGCAGGGTCCATGGAGATGAGAGTTAGCCTTTTAGGATTCTCAATTACCACTTAATTTTGTACGCCTTACTCGAAATCCCACCCGGCCAAGTGGCATCCTGATTGGTTGCTGTTTTTGGCTCAGCACTGGAAACAGGACTGGGAACCTGTGACAGCTCAGGTCTAAACGGGGGCGAGGCCGTGGCATGTTTTGCACATCCTGGGGGGTCTGAAGATTTCGAGCAAGGTGGCGTCCAGGTTTGAGTGGCATGATACCGTGTGACTTTCAAAAAATCTTTGTCATCCACAGTGGGAGACATATTTGACATTGCACACCCATCCTCTGCACCCCTGCGATCTGGACCGGAAGCCACAGCGGGGGAGGAACCCCCAGTTTCAGATGGGGGGTCTCTGAATCAGGACATGGACCTCCCACTCATATTTGAGCCACTGGATGGCCCCTTAGACGGGATAATTACCACTGGCACCCCCTCCATTCTGCAGTCTCCCCCTACAGTACTAGCAAGCTCAGAGTCCTCGGAAGTGATGACTCCAGATTTAGACCCATCCTACTCTGCCTCCTCAAAGACTGTGCCTCCCACCGTGCCAGAGGGGCCCTTTGTACCTTGGCAGATGTCGGGAACTGAGATCTCTGACATAGTCAGTCCCTCTGTGCTGTCGCCCCTCACAGCACCCCCTCCAGGACCCCCACTGGAGTATGACTCTGTGGGTGAGGAGATGCGTTTAATTCCAGCACATTCATATGTACTGTTATATCTTATGATACATATGATTCATGTTTTTTCATTTCCTCTTTACTTCTATAGAACTGGGCATGACTACAGAAGCTTTTTCAGATGACAGTGAGGCTCCCAAGAGTACAGAAGGTTCTTTCCTTACAACTATGGCTAAGACTACCAGTCTGTCATCACCTAGAAACAAGTCTGATCTGGAAGAGTCAGAATCTGAAGGTATTGACTCGCTCCAGGGAAAACCCCTCAGAACTTGTCTGTTTCTAAAAAACCCTCCAACTTTCCTCACAGAAGAACACGACGATGAGGATGAGGAAGATGAGGACACGGAGGATTCTGATGAAGAGGAGAGCCAGGAGGATTTGGTGGAGACTCCCACACCAACCCCGGTGCCTCACACCTACAGCCATGTCCCTTATCACCTCTACTCAAACTCCATATGGGTGCAGCGCCATCAAGGATTAGGTATGTATGCATGACTATTCATGGTAAGGAGTCAAAAAAGTATTTGTATTTCGGGAGAGTCTATTCCTGTCTTGGGCTTTAATCTTTTAAAATAGCCACAGGTCAGATCTACTTACTTCATGTACTATTGGTCTTGAGAGTTCAATCTTCCACAGGTAATTGAGGCACATATTTTAACCAACAACATAACTGCAATTTGAACTCTGTCCACTAGAGGGCTGCAGAGTCTCACATATTCCAAAACACACGAGACAAAACATTTTGGACCTCGGAGTGCTGTAAGGCATATTCCAAATTAGGCTGATTAGGCACAGTCCTTCACGTGACTCTAAGAAGAACATAACAAAGTCATTGCGACATGTTAATGGGGTCTATGAGGCGTACTGTATATCATTGCTTTACTAGCCCAATATCAACAATAGAGGGCACTAGGGGAGAACAGATATTAATGTTAATTCATATATGTGTTTAAATACAGTTTATGTATTGGACTGAACCCTGTTAGGAGACATGCGAATTTGGATGGAGCAGCACCTCTAGGGTGCTTGAGCATCACTCTGATGTAGAGCTTTGTGTCGGAGACCAGTGCTGACATCTTCTACACATCGGCCTGCTGCCCTGAAGCCTCATCGATATGACAAAAAGGACTTATGTCATACCGTAGGTGGGGCAGCCTTTCGGGAATGTGACAGTCTCCTCAATCCCTGACTTATCAAAATCGATGAACCGTCTGTTTTCTTTACAACGCCATGCTTAATCTGACTGCTTGGTTGACTTCAGGGGATTGTGGGAGTAAGTCTGTAATAATGATTGACACACCGTCAATGTTCAGTATCCCCAAAGGAAGGGTAAATGAAAGCCGACAGAAGAGCCGGCTGCCTTGTGGCTCTGCAGGGCCGATGTCCGCCAGCCGCGGTCTTGAGGACGAAGGGCAGCCCCAGCTGATCGGCTTCTATTTGCAAGCTGCGTTTTTTTTTTGCCGGTTCAGCACCAGACTGCAGGATTTGGCCGACTCAGCTAGACCTGCTGGATCGCGAGGAACGCAAACCCGTGGCAGAATACGGCCATCCTGCCTGACATGGGACAGCTGTCACGGTGCCTCTGCTGAGAGGGATGCAGAGCAGTTGAGATGTTACCTATGGGCTTGTGTCCCATTTCCGAGGGACAGTTTCGCTTCTGTGAGTTCGCTGGCTGGGCGTTTGCCGGGTCCCATCGGTGAGCGTGACAGATATGCAAATGTGGGCGATGACGAGTTATTCTGTCCCGGGGGAGCAGCTGACAGGTTAGTCTTCAGCAGATTTAGTCTGAACAGTAATCAGGCCGTGCTTCACTGTGCAGTGCCAAACAGAAGAGTATGAGCTGTCTGTCTCTTTTCTGTCATCCAAAAGCCTCCTGACCAGTATTTTCCATACATCACACATTTTTATTCGTGATGGAACATTTCATACCTCCCCTTTGCCAGATTTGGGGGGGAGGGGTGGTAAAATGTGTAGAGACTCAGAGGCTTTAGTGAAAGCAGCGTCCCACTGTGAAGCTTGGCTCTGCGGAACAAGTTACAGTCTGGGCCCAGTTTGTAGTGGGTCTGCACTGCATCGGCCCCTCGGAATGAGAGCACAAAATGCTGTTCCAGGCACCATGGCAGGAAACGAATAGCAGCTAGGGTGGTCTGGCAGGCCTGAGCATTAAGTGTGGGCCTTCGCCAGTCCCAGTTGGTGCCGCACACCATGTGGGATCTGTCTGCAGGCCGGGCCCAGTGAGCGGTGGGTCTAGGCGGCAGCTGCCTCTCCGAGTGGAAGCACTAAGGACTTTTTAAGGCACCATCTCAGAAAATGTCAAGCCCCCAAATAAATGCCGAACGTCAGGCCCACCGAGGCTGTCAGCCGAGAGTTTTACTGAAGACGTTACTTTTTGCAGCAGAACCCAATCCGATCCAAAGCTGACCAATGAGGGTGGCCCGTCAGGCGTAAGCATTAAGAGTGTGACGTCGGCAGTCCCACTTTTTGCTGTACACCTTCTATGATCTGGTTCCAGGCTGGGCTGCAGGGAGTCTGTTGTGTGGATGGTGGCAGCATATCCCTGAACGAGCTTATTAAAGGTTTGTGATCCTGTACTAGGAATTGTTGTTGTTTTTTTTTTTGGATTCTGACCCCTGTTTTATAAAGATCTTAACCTCTAACCTCGAGTGATACATGTTACTTAAGATGGCTTTTATTTTTTTGGGAGGAGTGAGATTAGAGAAGTAGTTAATGGAATAATGACCACAGGGGTATTCTAAATCCCGGGTGTGCCGTTAACCTTGCCCTTGCAATGGTCTCTGTGCCTTTTACAGTTAAGTAACTTGACAACAGTGAGGAACCGACCTGCATGGGTTTGCCTGAGGGTGGGTGACTTCTTATGCAAGGACATGAGATTGGGGCGCTTTTCTGTCTTCCTTTCTGGTCTTTTCTCCGGAGGAGCGACTTAGGTCACTTATTTCCATTACCATTGTTGAAGCCTCGGAGGCCCAAGACTGAATTGTTTTAGAAAGCAGCGGCGGAGACATCAGATGTAATTGCGTCACTTAGACGTGATTTTGCGGCATTTCTTTCTCATCTAAATTTAAATTTTCCGGTGCTGCTCCCAGTGTGATGTTGGCGCTTCTGAATCGCGGAGAGTGGAAATAAAAACAGCTATCCTTCACCCATTCTAAAAAGAGGCCCATGCCCTGTTTCTCCTCCAAGTTTCTCGTTCACCCTCCGCCATCCATCACCTTGGCTGCAGGAACAGCAAATGCAAAGAAATTGGCTAAAATTTGCCGCATGCTTGTTTGGCCTCTGGGACGCTCATAAATTCCCCCGCCTCTGCAGCTCCGCTCCTGCTCCCTCCAAACCCCGAGAGCCTACTTTCTGCACAGCAGAGCAGCAGTTTCACCCGCGACTGTCCCAAGTGTCTGAGAAGCGTATAAAGTGAACCACCCCCCACAACTGCCTACAGGGGCACACCGAAAGAATAGTGCACTTGCTGCGGCATGTCAAGCGGCCACTGAGTAGAGCACTAGCAGTTATCGTCAGTGGAAAGATAGGAATGTCAATGGAAAACAAGATGGCACCCAAAGACTAATCGAGTCGCCCATATTAACGGTAACCGCTGGTCTTGCACTGCGCCTCAGGAAGTCTCTTTCCGATTGGCTGCTCAAAGCATCCTTGTACTTCTGGGTAAACAACCCAACGAGCACTTCTCTATCCTCTCTTTCAGTGCGCAGCTGGGTAGAGAAGATTCGTGATAAGGTTAGTACACATCCGCCAGATTTGTAAGGTTAGTACACATCCGCCAGATTCATGATAAGGTTAGTTCCCATCTGCCAGATTCATGATATGGTTAGTGTTCATCTGCCATTTTCCACAGAGGATTGGTCCGCACGTGTCCCTCAATGACCTTTTAATAGTCATTTTCTTCATATAAGTTTCATTTGAGGTTGAAATAAACTTATGCTATCCACCATTTCAGTGCCCTCTACATTAATAATTCAAGCAGGTGTGGTGTATTTGTGCATTGGCACCAGATCTTACACTCTTAAGTTGCAGCCTGGAAGTGGCGCAGTGCAGTTTAAAGCTCACCCCCCCCCCCCCCCCCCCTCGCTTCTGCAGGTGGGCTNCCCCCCCCCCCCCCCCCCCCCCCCTCGCTTCTGCAGGTGGGCTACGTGTCTGGGATGTTGGCACCGGTGGGCATCGGTATCGCTGGGGCCCTCTTCATCCTGGGGGCTCTTTACAGCATCAAGATGATGCACCGCAAGAGGAGGGATAACAGCTTCAAGAACCAGCGGAGGAAGGTGAGGAGGAGAGGAGAGACGGAAGCAGAAAGGCTTGCTGATCCGCAGAGAGGCTGTTTTTTTGAAGTTAATGGGAATTTGAGGGAGGGAGAGAAACAGCAGAAGGCCGGGCAGGCAGATAGCTTTACTGCAGTGGGGGGCCAGGTGGAGGTGGTATAAAATCTTATTCTCAGTCTTTTTGTGGACTGCCTGTGCTGTGTGGCTGCATTCCTGCCATGCCCCACGTAACACTTGTCGCGTGACTCGCATCTTCAGAGCCCAGAGACAAACAGCAGGCAAGACCGAGCCATGCTGCTAGCTGACAGCTCAGAGGATGAATTCTAGTACCGGCAAGAGGATGACAGCAGCCATCCCAGGACCGCCATGGCAACCGCAGAAGAATCCTTCGAACAGGCTCCCACCGTGGACCGTGTACCTGCATGTTAAACAAAAGAACTGATTCTGAAGAGGTTCTACTTCCGTCCTCCTCCATCATTGTGAGCAATTGTGATCGTGGGCAGAGCCAAGACAGCAATCCCTTCCAAAAAAGAACTCTGTAGATCCGAATGGTGTGTGTAACACTCATTTTGAAACGCGGCTTCCCACTGCGTAAACGATCATGTTGGATTGCCGGGACTGAATTTGATGTCAAAATTTCCTTAGTGATCTTTTCGGCGTTGAACGCCTCTTCACAAGTAATTCACACTATTAGCGGACTAACCAATGGATGCTGTCTTTGGCTGACTAACAAGGTCCAACAACCTCTTCTTTTTTGGACAAGTATTGTTGGTTGGCTGTGGTGTCACCATCAAATCCACAGCTGCTGCATGAGCCTTGATGTTCACGGCTGATACGTCCCTCAGACGGCAGTTCGTTCCAGGTGTTTATCTTTAATTCTCAGATTCTCTGCCGAGTTTGCTTGTCGTCGTAATTCATTTAAACAGGCGGGACTGTCTGGTATATATACTGTTTTCCGCAACACATGTACAACTATGACAGACTTAATTGGCATATTCACATGGCTGTATTTGCACACATGTGCTGTGATTTAACTTCTCGAATGCCAAAAGGCACAAACTCTTTTGTGATGTATACAGGCGTATTATCTTGTGAATATACTGACACAGTACAGGTTCTGCTTTTTGTAAAGCGACAGTATTTATTATACAATCATTCACATGGACTTTACAATGACAATCCGCCTTGATCTGCATCATGAGTTCCTCTCGCCTTAATGTGAGACTCTGTATGTTTCTTAAACAGCTAATCTGTATGTGTGCGATTTATATATCAGTGTTTATCGCCGGAAGCTAAAAGCTAAAAGTATCTCACTGGTTTCTTGGACAGTTGTACATATTTGCTGTAATTACTCTCTTGAATGACAGGAACTTGTTACCATCCTACAGCAAGATCTGAAAGAGCATAAAATTCTTTTTAATATCCTTTAACAGCAAATTTTATTAAAATTACAGCATTTATACCATTACACCATTTACCACCTTTACCACATACTCTAGCAGCACATTGGTGCACTTGACAGTTTTAATACACCCATCTATTTTCTCCTGGCTTTCATTTTCCCCTGTAGAAAACAGCTTCTCTTTGTACTGAAATGTGTGTGTAGACAGGAGCCCTGGAATAATTCCTGTGTATGAATTCATTACCCAGTGTTGTTTGCTTTGTATGGCTGATCGTCTGAGCTCATACATATAGAAAGACATACAGGGATGGTAGAGCATGGCTAAGTCTCTAAAGGTATCACAGAAGCTATGTCTTAAAGTCCCTTTGGCCATCAGGCCCTTAAATGTCCCAGCGCTTTGCTTCTGCCTTAGGATATAGCAAGGTGCAGGAGTTGAGTTGTGTGACACTTGCTGTCCAGGAAGTTGGTCACTGATGTCGGGCACTAGTGTCATTTTCCGCCTGCTGGACGGTGGCCCATGAGGGTCACACTGCACTTTGTGTCGATGCCGCAGACTCAAAAACCCAAACTGGTTTTTCGGATGTGCTCATGCAAACGTGCACATGGCTCCCTAACATTTTCCACAATACTGTCCTGACACTGGCGTACTGTGACGTTTTCCGTGTGATCATGCACCCGCCTCGTCCGTTTCTCCTTATTGCAGGCTGGATCAGCACGGGTCTCTCGGGACGGTCACGGGCCCTGAACTTGCTTTCACTCGCTGCCCCAGGCTGTGCGGCTGCTTGTCATGCTTAAAAAAAGGTCATCTGCGTGCGGAGTCGCTACCGTTCTCCGGAATGGTCGCATTGTCAGAGTTCTGTAAATAAACAGCACGGAGCCAATAGGATTTCAGCAACGTCGTCATTCCTGCCATGAACGACAAAAGCCCAGGCCCCTTACGCAGAAGGGCACAATCGATTAGCCTTCCTTTGGCGCTCCAACAAGGGCATCTGAAGACACAGCTTCTATTTTTATGGGTTTTTTTCTTGCACTTAGTGGCTCTGACGCTCGAGCTCCTCCCGCCGCGCCGTGGTTATGAGGCAGAGAAAGCTAAAGTCATCTTTGCACGCATTACTGCACGCTGGTCTCCGAAGATCTCCCCTAGCTGGCTCTAGCGGGGACGCAGTCAGCAGCAGAAGCTGATGTAACTAAGGTTTATGGGCATTTATAGTGACATTAAAATGTGGGACAGGCATAGGAAATGTCTCAGGAGATGCACGTACAGATGAAAAATGGGTCTTTCAACAGGCCGCAGAAGTGACTCCACGTATTTTTTCAGTATGACTGCGAAATGTGAGGCCCAATGCCATTTTCCCAAGTTGTTGGGCGTCTCGATTTGGCCCGTCGTATTTGGAATGGTGTCATGTCACAATCCGTCATGCACACATGCTGCTTAAGGGCGTTGTAGGTTTGTGTTAGTGGCGCGATCTCGGAGCTCTAAGTGGGTCGTTCCCAGAAATGCCACCAGCCTCCCTGCGTCACGTCCTGCCGGAGACCTTCTCGTATAAGAGCAGCCTCAGTCGCTCTGGCAGATCCGTGCCCATGTTTGCAAAGGCAGGGCAGCCACAACGTCAGACACGTCACCTTCCTGTTGATACCTAATTTTACATTCCGGTGGGATTGTGTGTCTGTGTGTGTGTGTGTGTGTGTGTGTGTGAGAGATTAATGATCAGACAGCTTAGCTAAGCTAATGTGTGTCCCCTGCTGTAACGAATGCATTTGTATCGGTCTGGCGTCACTGCCTTGGCAAGTAATGAGACAAGCTAACTATTATTAATGTAAATGATAGAAGGGGGACATTGAGCAGAGGAGGACAAGAACAGAGCAAAAGGAAGTGTGGGAGAGGAAAGAGAGCTGAGAAAAAGGAGAGATGAACAGCTCACTTGGTGGTTAAGAACTTTGATCGATAACTAAAAGGTTAAAGGTTTAAATCCCATGAAGAGCTTTGGTGCTGAATCCCAGAATGATATACTTAGCTATAATTACTTTAATACATCTCCTGGGCTGCAAAAATATGTCAATGTAAAAACCAGGCAAATCATTCTGAACAAAAGTTCCTCTTAAACAGTAAAATGATGGCTTTATCCTGACAATGTAACATCTGTAACAGCAATAGACCCACAAAAAAGTATGAATCCATTAGTGGGACTTAGTCACAGATTATAAAAATCTGGCCATTGTTAGGAGCTCCAGCGACGGTTGTCTGCTGCTTGGTGATGGGGACGATATCGACCCCTTTTCACTCACCAGCTGACTTTGGATCAGTTCCCTATGGTGATTATCTGTCTTTCAGCCTAGCTGGGGCCCAAGTGTGTGCCCGCTCCCTCCATTTAGAGCTCCCGTCCTTCTAATTACATCTCCGTTATAATTAAACATTAAATATTTATCAGCCTTTCAGGTACGACCTTCCCAGGGTATGCAGCTTCCACAGTCTGCCCTTCTATATATAACCCAGAAAGTCTCTTTTATACAGCTTTTTTCCCCCATGACCTGTGGAAAGTAATCTTTAGTGCACATGGAGTATTGATATTGGGATGGCATTTGGCAGTGTAGTCTGCGATCTCTAAGGTGACCTACTGACGGTGATTGAGGTGGTGCCTTAAACTCGTTGGTCTGGTCGGGGCGTCCTTCTCAGCAGAAAAACACAGGGCTCACATTGATTTGTTTTTCAGTGCACAAACTCTTAGTGGTCTAACTCTGTCTGATCTTCCGCTGCCAGACAGGATACACTGTCAAGGTTACACCACGCCTGGCCCGGTCCGATTGCCTCCAGCCGACAGCTCCATTTATCTCGAGGACAAGTCAGGCGACCCAATCAAATCCACTTACTTCGTTTAATAAGGCTTTGGAAGTTTCGTACCGGCACAAACAGAAGACCAATCAGCAGTGGTAAATGCAATTACCATACCACAAACACATGGTGAGAAACATGTGATGAAATATAGAGAAATCCTCTCGTGTTCCAGAGGACATGGTGGGAGGACAGTGTCAGCGGCAGAGTCACCCAACCAGGCAGGTCCGTGTGGAGAACAGAACCTGCGGTCGCCTCAGAGACATTTCCTTTGGTTTCTGTTGCCAGACATAGCAGCTTAACAGTTATGAACAGAATCCTCACTGCTCACATAATTGCAAGTGAGCGTTTGATTCACAGAAGAAATCGAAATGAGTCAAGTCAAAAGCACAGGGATATATTTTTGTTAAATTAAATTTTTACTGTAATTTTAGTAATTCATTACTAAATCGGGGGCAGCCGATGTTAGTGGGTTCCCACCCCAGCTGTGTATGTCCCTGTGACATCATGGGGTCTCCCCCCACAGAAAAATATGCTAAGGTGAATCTGAGTTACCAAATTGTCTGTAGCTGTGAATGGTGTGTGTACCCTGCGATGGGTTGGTGCCCCAACTTGGTTCCAGGCCTGTTGCTTCCAGAATAGGCTCCGGACTCCTGCGAACTTGCTAATCCTTTCTAACATGGATGGTGTGACTGTCCATCAGCGCGCATAGAAAATCGTCGAAAAATGGACTAAACCCCAGAAAGAATGGCAAAATAAGCAGCCAGCGATGTCACGGATGTTCCCCTGACAAAGCTGTCTGATAGGTGGAGGCCGTACGTCCAGAGGCACACCCTATCACAGAGCTCCTCCGTTTGCAAATGAAACGTACAATGAGCAACACACCGGAAGCTGGGCATCCGCCACCTGGTCGTCCCCGAGCCGTCAGCGGCGTCTTCCTAATCCTAGATTGTATGTTGCACTCATCCTAGATTAAAATTGATTGAATCTCGAAAAGCAATTAGAAGACAATCAGCCAGCTCATGCCGTATTGAATCGCCTCGGTCTGTTAGCTACGCGGGTAGATGAGGGAAACAGAAATGTAAACGGACTCTGAGAGACATTCATCACTGGTATTCCAGAATGTTCACTTTGCCTAGGCTCTAGGTAAATGGGAATGTAAGGCATGCAGCTTCCATTTGCTGATGCGGGGCAGGTCTACGAAGCTAGACAGAGTGACCAAGACCCATTCACATGACTAAACAACCGGATGTTCTAATCCATCAGGAAGCTGAACATCACAAAGACTGTCTTAGGAATCTGGATAATTTCCTCTTGTAAACCTAACAAAAATATATAGTCTGAATGTCAGATTGGATACTAGGTAAGATTTGAACAGAACAGTTTATTAAAAATAGGCCAAGTAGTACTTCATCCTGTTTGGACATCCTATGCAGATCTCCAACAATTTAGCACAGATTTCCAGTGAGTACTGCTATAAACTTGCATTGGATTTCCCCCCTTTGTTCCACACCCAGCTAAATAAACTGAAGAAGCACACTATAGATTATTTGCATAGTAAGTGATTCCTGCTCAGCATGAATGCATTTTATTGATAGACATAAATCATAGTATTGGCAAATAAGTTGATCAGTAGTTTTTTTTTTTCTGCCTGATTACCTTGAGCGCTGCTTGGCGCAGAGGGCCATAAAGACTCCCTATCAAATAGAGCAGACACGGTTTAATTCTGCTGCAGAAGGTATGCAAAAATAATGCCAGAAGTCATATATGCAATTACGACCGGAGGAAGAGGACTGGGATGAAACTGGAGCAGCTGGCTGTCTATAGGCTAAGGCATTCAGATGTTTTATAGATACCGCAAGGGACACAAATTGCATGAGGTTCTGGGATGGAAATACACAACGGTGTATAGAACAGAGTGGGAAGACGGGACTGACTATACTCACTAGAACAATTAAGGTGGTTAGTAGGTTACTATAGGCAGGATGTGGAATGTATCCTAATGGCTAAGTTTTCCAAAGCTGAGCAAAACACTCAACTTCTTAAAAACACACTCCAAAAGTGCTACCCCTTCCCACACCCCCCATCTAGGGGGGCCCCATAAAAGCATATTATATTGGGCCCCCCAACCAAGATCAATTGGATCATGTTCCAGATTTTTTAGGGCTGCAGTTACTCCGGGGCCCCTGGAATCGTTGTAACACCCCCCCCCCCCAAAAGGTGCTCCACCTTTGTTCTCATCAGATATGGTATTGAGCCGCTCCCTCAGTAAAACTGTGCTTGTGGGATATGTACTGTACTCCCTGCCCGGTGCTGCATCGCGGTGAAGCGGTAATAAATGAAACCTTTCTGCTGCCTCAGTGAAACCGATTGCTACATCAGGAGGGCATTTCCCAAGAGATGCTACATCACCCCATTAAAATGTCACTCCCAGAGGACCCCATGACAAATGCTTTCGGGAGCTTAATAAATTAGAACCACACCTGGAGTATAAGCAGTGGACCAAGAATTAAAGTACTTTTTTTTTTGCCTGTTTTTACATGTGGATAATAAAGGTACTAAATTGTATGAGCCTTTTTCTTTTAATGTCAGACACTGTAACATGTTCTGATTCATTAATTTTTCCATAAAAGTTTCATTTGTTTATTTACACACACCTGGGGCTCATTATGACTCTGGAAGGAGCTACATTTCAGCAGACTAAGCCGATAAATTTTACCTCGTGCCGGTCACCTCGCCAGCGTTCTACTCAGCCTCTCCAGTCATCAAACCATTCCAGGTCTTCAGATCTATTACTATGGGACTCTGTAGAATGCGATCCACAAAGAGACACTGCACAGCCAAGAGCTTAGAGCTCAGTTCACCGGCAAACTATGAAACATGGTCAGAGGACGTAGGCAGATGCTTGAATTCCAGTTAATTTATTTGGCAATCGATCTAAATAATTTTACGGAGACGAAAATAAACAGCATCAGCACCATCACTATATGGATAGAGGGGGACGAAACAGGAGAAACAGCGCGTGAAGGAAGGAGAGAGATAAGCACTGGT